TCAATGCAGATCAATAAATAAAATATAATTTTCTTTTCACTTTGCAAATTAAAGAATATACTTACAAAATAATAAGAACAACAAACACAGCCTAATTTTTTTCGAAACTTTTTTTATGAAAAAAGTAATTTATTATAAAACCGTAAATTAAATATTACAAATACTACAAAAGAAATAAATAAAAAATGAATTATACGAATACACTATTGGACACCTTTAATGAACTTAATGAACATATAAATACCAAAACAATATCTTTAATTTGTATGAATATTCGATCACTTCGGAAGAATTTTACCGAATTTCTAACCAGAATAAAGGACATATTAAACAATGATGATGAAATTCAATTTTACAAAATAAATGGCTACAATTCCACATTCCTAAACCGAGAAAACCGAGGAGGAGGTATTGCAGTGTACATAGCAGATCAAATGTCTTTTCAAAATATTACCACAAAAACAATGAACTTTGAATCTATGCAAATACAAATGAAATTATGTTCCAACAAAACCATAACACTAATTCCATGTTACCGTCCTCCCAGTTCGAACATCAAAAACTTTATTAAAGAACTGGACTGCAGCATAAATAAAGTAAATAAAAAAGAAGACATCATATTAGTCGGCGATATGAACATTGACATCAACGCAAACACCAGGTCGGTTAAAAATTATTTAGACATGTGCGCATCCAATGGCCTTGAGTGTCTTGTAACTGGGATAACTCGAGAGGATGATCGTACTGGTAGTAAAAGTTGCATCGATCACTTGTTTATAAGACATAATGCAACAAACAATATTAAAACTGCCATAATAACCACAACGATTTCGGACCACTTTTCAATATTTGGGAGTATGGAAATAGATGTTGTAACAACTAACAAATCTAATCAAAAATCCATGAATGAAAAACCTAATAATAAAAAAGTAAATAATGAAATAAGGAAAATCGATTGGAACCAAATCGTAGTTGAAGCTAACGGGTCAAATGACCTTTTTAATAAAATTTTCAAGACATTTTCTGAAATATACGAAAAATCAACTAAACAAATGAAATCCAAAATGAAAAACAGAAATGGGCATCCTTGGTTGACTGATGAACTAATAAAATGTTGTTGTGTGAGAGATAAGTTGTACAAGAAATACCGAAAATCCAAAACAGTACTCAATCAAAGACTCTACAAAACTTTTAACAACCAACTTAATAAAACGATCATATTTGCTAAGAATGCATATTATTACAACAAATTCATCCAAAGCCGAAATAATATTCGCGACACTTGGAAAACGATAAACGAGGTAATTGGAAAAAAGAGTTACAGCATAGACGAGACCCTCAAAATTAATTTTGCCAATCAAAACACAGTGATAATTGCAGAAAACTTTGCAAAACAGTTTAAAAGAAATGTTGAAAACATTGTACACAACTGTACAAAGACTACACTGACATCGTTTGAAAATAGTGTACCAAATTCCATATATTTAGAAAATACAAATGTTGCAGAAGTAGCAAACGTTTTGAATAGCCTAAATACAAAAAAGGGTCCAGGTTGTGATGGTATAAGACCAATCGATCTCAAAAATAATTCTGAAATATTAGCACCTGTGATAACAGCTTTGATAAACAAAAGCTTCTTCGAATCAGTTGTTCCTGATGTCCTGAAAACGTCCATAATTAGACCTATTTACAAGAGTGGCACTAAATTGTCATACGAAAATTATAGGCCAATATCAAATCTCCCCATCATTGAAAAAGTTTTAGAAGAGATTGTGACACGAAGACTTAATAATTTTTTGAAAAAATATAGTATTATAAATAAAAGCCAGTATGGATTTCAAAAAGGAAAAAGCATTAATAAACTCTTGGGACACTTTTCAAACGAAATCAACAAGAATTTATCTGAAAACAAACACTGCCTAGCAATGTTCATTGATTTCAGCAAGGCATTTGACACTCTGTCACATCAAAGGCTACTGAGCATTTTAGAAAAAAACGGAATAAGAGGCCAATGTCTAAAATGGTTTGAAGACTACATAAAATGCCGCACGTTTAAAGTCAAAATAGACAACACCACAAGTGATAAATACACCTCAGAGTATGGTGTCCCGCAAGGATCTAAACTCGGACCTATTCTCTTCATCATATACACAAACGACATGATCAAAACACTCAACGATAGCATTGCCTTCTCGTATGCTGATGATACGGCAATATTAGTATCAGATACATCCATACGTTCTGCAGAACGAAGGATGCAATCGGAGATGAATAAGCTAACCAGATGGTGTCACGATAATGGCCTGGTCATTAATGCTAGTAAGACGAAGCTTATGCACTTTCGAACGAGACACACACCAGGAACAGATATTTCAATAATATTTCACAATTATGAATGTATACATACAAATGATACAATCAACGATCAATATGTCGATAACTGCACAACTAAGATAGAAGTAGTCGACACATATAAATATCTTGGTGTAATATTGGACACTCACTTTAAATGGAAGTCACACATTGATAACGTCATAAAAAAGCTTAGAAAATCATCATATGCCATTTATCACCTAAGCAATTGTGCTCCATATCATGTCATCCGACAAGCATATTTTTCATTAGCAGAATCGTATCTGAGGCATGGAATAACTTCTTGGGGAAATTCAGCGAATATTTCAATATTACAAACTGCCCAAAACAGAGTTTTGAAAATACTTCAGAAAAGCCTTAATAAATTAAATGTATACGAACAACATTCAAACTCTGTAGGGAACCACATTACTCAACGATCCACAGCACGACAATGTAACAACAACAATATACATAAAAAGCTGCATATTCTCAACATAAAAAATCTCTACAAATGTGTAATCACAAACGAATTCTCTGATGATAACTCGCTGTTGAAACATATCGACCACAATATAAACACAAGAAGACAGGCACAAGGAAGATACAAGATACCCAGTTTCAAAAACGAATATGGCAGAAGAGCTCTTGAGGTCAGCCTTCCAAGTGCCCTAGATGAACTGCCCCTGGAAATATTTAATATTAGAAATAAAATGAAAAGAAAAAAACTATTAAAAAACCACTTAATAAGCTTATAATTTTCGAATATAAGATTTTTTTTTTGGAAATGTTTGATACTCTACATTTGAACTGTTGAAATGAAAATTGTAAAATGTATATATATAAATTATTACTAAGATCATCCTGCAGACAAGCTAAAAGCTTCGCGGGAAAATGTATTGTAAATTTTAATATACACTTCAATAAAGAATATACACTTCAAAAAAAAAAAAAAAAAAAAAAAAGACGAAGTCTCTATAGACGAAGTCTCTATAGACGAAGTCTTTATAGACGAAGTCTCTGTAGACGAAGTCTCTATAGACGACGTCTCTATAGACGAAGTCTCTATAGACGATGTCTCTATAGACGACGTCTCTATAGACGATGTCTCTATAGACGAAGTCTCTATAGACGATGCCTCTATAGACGATGTCTCTATAGACGAAGTCTCTATAGACGAAGTCTCTATAGACGAAGTCTCTATAGACGAAGTCTCTATAGACGAAGTCTCTATAGACGAAGTCTCTATAGACGAAGTCTCTATAGACGAAGTCTCTATAGACGAAGTCTCTATAGACGAAGTCTCTATAGACGAAGTCTCTATAGACGAAGTCTCTATAGACGAAGTCTCTATAGACGAAGTCTCTATAGACGAAGTCTCTATAGACGAAGTCTCTATAGACGAAGTCTCTATAGACGAAGTCTCTATAGACGAGCTGGCGGGCCAGTGAAGTCTCTATAGACGAACTAGTGAGACATTGAAAGCTTTATAGTCGACTTGATGGTCCAGTTAGTCTCTATAGACGAGCTGGTGGACCAATATCACAAAAAAGTTTCCAGGTCGATGTTGGCTCACCTTCAATCCTGTCGTGGTTTGAGAAATACTCATCAGCCCTGTGGGGATTAATTTATGACTTATATGCCAAATAACTTCTTAATAAAAATTTGGAGCCCCTGACCTTCACTACTCCTCAAATATGAAACAGGTTAGAATATTCGTACAAATTCCATCATCTTCTTTTTATCCTCCAATTTCTTCCCATTTGCTTCATAGTCCAATTAGCATTACCTCACGGAAATTAGATCGAGATAATAGTGTCTTATTCATGTCATTTCCACTCATTCTTCTTTCACATTCAAATTATCTCAGGAAAGTTATAAATGAAACTGTTTCATTATCTGAATATAAATTATGTCATCACATTTTTTTTCCATTCTCTGTTTTTTTTCAATTATTCATACTTGGGTAGTTTTTCTGTAAGAAAAAAAATATTTAATTCTCATTTCAGGCTACACTACTCTCCTTCGGGCTACAGAAAGAAAATATCCTTTCTTTTCTTCTTCTTCATTTTTTCCTCCTGAATTACAATTCAACACATTTGGTGTGTCATCTAATCGTAGTAATTAAAAATCTCCTTAATCTTTGTCTTAATCTCTTATTTCAATTATAATTTTGCTGCAGAGTGTGTAAGTGTGCGAGTGTGTGTGTGTGTTCCTGCACTAAACATAAAACATAAAAGATGTCCCGTTAATGATAAGACAAGAACGTATTTTTTATGTCCGCAAACATAAAAATGTTTCATGGCATCATGGAATGAAAGAAAAAATAGAATAGAATGAAGTAAAACAGAATGGAAAATATCCCAAGAATGGTGTCATAAAAATTAGAAAAAAAACGAGAATTGGATGAATGTAATTCAGAAAAGAGTTCACGAAGAAAAGAAGGAAAGTTGTGTTGAAGGAAAAAAAAAAAACATAAGAAAACTGTAATTTCTTTGGACAAGCTTTCACATTTTAGCCCTGATTTTATGTCATCACAGCTTTTGTTACATTTTTCACATTTCGTTGGTTGCTTAATTTTCTTTTCCGTAATTTAATTAAATTTATTTTGCTTCTTCTTAAAAAATTTTCTTATTTCATTTTTACAGAAACCGCCTAGAAAACAATTCAGAACACTGGAATGCTTTATTACTGACCCTACGTGAACTCACCGAATGGGTCATACGCAAAGATACTGAATTGTCCACCCTGGGTATGGGTCCAGTTCGTGGTGATGCTGCCAGCCTACAAAAACAATTGGTAAGTAATTGATTAAGACATTTTCAAATAATTTTTGAAATTTGAAAAAAATGTGTTCAGATGATTTTAAGATCTTCGACAAAAGAAAATATAATATACTGCAAACAACAACCCATAAACTGATTGTATGATTGGATTATTTAGGAAAGAAGTGCCTTTCCTCTAAAACTGAGATAAGTTAATTATAGAGGTGACTAAACATCGATTTATCGATACTATTGGCTATTATTGAAAACTAATTCGAAAGGTTATTCACTAAAGATCCTGCTTGAAGTCTGTACTAAGCAAGTTAGAATTTATCAGCCTACAGATATATACCCTCAGCCAACGTTAAATATATTTTGACTTCTCTTATGATAATTCAAATTGTTGACTCTCTATGGAGTGGGTTCCGAAGGAATGGGCCAATATTGTCCATTTCACATCGGACCTAAATAAATATGATATAAATATTGCGACGTGCCAGGTTTGGAGATAGATAGAGATATGTGATAATTTATATATCCAATTTTATTCGAAATCATAAATTTCATATTCATCTTAGGTTGTTATGACAGATAAAAGTATTGCAAATTTTTGACTCCTTGTGGGTAAGGTACCAGAAGGGGTTAGCAAATATATATCATATTCAAAAGAGATCTTGTGGTAGCCTAAATATTTGTATGTGCATAATTTTAAGAGAGGTGGATGCTAATTTCGCTTTCTGTGAAAGTTCTGTTTTTCAAAATCTTGAACCCTTCTAAAAGAATTTGTTCGATCCCTACCATCTTTATAACATATCTTGTGTTGATGGAAATATTAAAATGTACCAGGTCTGAATTGAATCTAATGTTTATTTCGCATTTTATGAGCTTTATGGATATTCGAAATGTTGACCCCTTGTGGGGAGGTACCAGAAGGAGTGGATCGATATTTCCCAGCTTAACATCAGATCCTGTGTTACTAGAAATAATGGGATATGTGAAGTAAGAAGAGAATCGAATGTTCATTTCGGATTTCAAATCGTTTTGGTTGCTCAAAATGTTGACCCTTTGTGTGGGAGGTACCAGAAGAAATGGTATGATCTCTACCATATTTATAACTGATCTTGCGTTGATAGAAATATTGAGATGTTAAAATTCTGAGTAGAGTCGGATGTTAATTTCACACTTTATGAGTTCCATGGATATTCACATTTTTGACCCTTTGTTGGAGAGGTACTTGAAAAGTACGACTTTTATTTCACATTTTATAAGAGTTATAATTATTCCAAATTTTGACCCTTTATGGGAGATGTACTTACTGGAGTGGGATGATATTGTCCATTTTCACACCTCACGTACTGCTGATGCATTTATTAGGATTCTTTCTGTGGAGTAAAATTTTTTTTTCGAAAATTTCGACCTTTTGTGGGGGAGGTACCAGAAGGAGTGGACCGAGCAGATTTTTTATTATAAAAATTGGGATGTGTGTAGTATGTAGAGAGCCGGATGCCTTTTCCGGATTTCATAATCTTTTTGGCTATTCAAAATGTTGGCCTTTTTGGGGGAGGTACCAGAAGGAATGGTCCGATCTAAACCATCTTTAAAATATATATTGTGTTGATAGAAACATTAAGATGTGCCACATCTGAATACAATTGGATGCTCAATTCGCGTTTTCATGGTTATTCAAAATTTTTACCCTTTTACCCTTTGGGAGATACCAGAAGGTGTGGGCCGATTTATCAAATCTTCGCAAAAGATCTTGAGCTTGCAAAAATAATGTAATGTGTGTAAGTTTAAGACAATCGGGGCCTTACATCACATTGTAAATATTCAAATGTTGACCTTTTGTTTGGGAGGTGGCGGATATTGTCCATTTTCACATCTGACCTTGTCTTGACAAAAATATTGGTATTTGTTAAGTTTTCATGAAATCGAAAGACTCTTTTCTTTGAATGAGGTAAATTGTTTTCTGTGAATATTTTGAACTTTTGTGGAGGAGATACTAGAAGAAATTGACCGATATAACGCATCTCTGAACTCGACCTACGTTTGATAATAATATTACGATGTACCAACTTCGGGCCAAATCGGATACTCGCTTCGAGAGTTAATGTGCGCACCAGACAGACAGACGGACGTACGGACATTCAGACAGATACCTCTAGATCGACTCCAAATGTTCTGAAACGAATTTGGTCCAAAGAGACCTAAGGTCTAAAACCGTTATTTCGATTAAGCACGTTTTGGCCGTATCAATATCATTTGCTTTTATTCCCTCAGTAGCCATATGGATGAGGGTATAATAATACAATTGTACGAAATTATTACCTTTTAGTACTTTTCGTATACTTAAAGTTCGAATTTTCCCAAAAATCCTTTTGTATCTCAATGCTAGACTCCACCAGTGACCATCGTTGAAAATTTCTAGCTTTATCCATTCCTCTAATATTAATTACAATATTAGGGTCCTGTTTTTGTATGACGATTCGAAAGTGAACGTAAGCCAAAAATACCCCTTCAAACATGAGTTTCGTATGTTTTGAAAAAAAAATTCTAAAAAATCAAAGATTTGAAATTTTCATATGGCAGGTCTTTTTTTTCGCACTCACATTAGTATTGCCATATAGAAACAGGTCCAAGGTATTTTTTTAACCATTCTAACACAAATTTTCAAAAAAAAAAAACAGTCTATCCCACGGTTGACCATCATCGAAATTTTCAATATTTTATCTTCAGCCGTTTTGTCTTGGCGTTGATATATCCGTGGATGGTGGGCAAAATAAATTGTTCTTTACTTTATCTAAATAAATTCATTTTAAGATGCCTACGTAAATGGGAAATTATTCGGAGCTTCTTCTCAGAAGCTTGTGATTTGAAGCAATGATACTGCTATTTTGAGTTCATATCGAAAGTCAAATTGACAAATGAACCTGAGGTACTTGAATGTGAAAAAAAAAATCATTCCAACATCAGCATTTCTAAAATCCTGAGGTTCGATTTGCCTATAACCGCAAACATTTCGACAAATAGGTTAAAACCTGATCACAAATATAGATTTGCCTCACTATCTAAATTTTCAATATTCTCCCTAGCCGTTAATATAGTTGGCGAGTAAAATAAATTGTCCTTTACTTAATTTAAATTATTTGACCTTGTAATGACACTATAAATGGAAAATTATTGGGAGTTTCTCGGAATCATACTTTCTCCTCAGACTTTGATCTTGAGATTTAACGTAGTAACACTGCCCTCCATTAAGTTGATATCAAAAGTCAAATTATTAAATAAACCTGAGGTACATAAATGTGGTAAAAAGCATCCCAACACCAACACTTCTAAAACCCTGAGATTCGATTTACCTATAACTGCAAAGAAATCCACAAATAGGTGAAAATCTGATCACAAATAAAGATTTTCCTCACTATCCAAATTTTCAATGTTCTCCCTAGCCGTTAATGTAGTTGGCGAGCAAAATAAATTGCCCTTTACTTAATTTGAATTATTTAACCTTGTAATGACACTACAAATGGAAAATCATTGGGAGCTTCTCCGAATCATATCTTCTCTTGAAATTTTGATCTTGAGATTTGCTATGAAGCTGATATCGAAAGGCAAGTTGATAATGTGGTAAAAAGCATCCCAACACCAACATTTCTAAAATCCTGTGGTTTTATCTACCTACAACTGAAAACATTTCACAAAATAGTTTAAAACCTGATCGACAATTCGGTGCAATCTTCAAATTGAAATCACAGGTAAATAGAGTTCAGCAGTAGAAGTAATTTTTCTCCCATATTTATACCCTCCACCATACTATGGAGGGTATATTAATTTTGTCATTCCGTTTGTAACTTCTCGAAATACTCATGTCAGACCCAACAAAGTATATATATTCTTGATCAGCGTAAAATTCTAAGACGATTTAGCCATGTCCGTCTGTGTGTCTGTCTGTCTGTTGTAATCACGCTATCTTTCGAACAAATTGATATAGAAGGCTAAAATTTTGCACACGTGTATATTTTGCCAGTAGGCAGGTTAAGTTCGTAAATGGGCCATCTAGGTCCAAGTTATCATAACGGTACCTCCCTATATTCGGTATTTTGTTGATTTTAGCGACATTATTCACCGGAATTGTTTCAAATTTGGCATTTGAAGTTCATAATGGATACTACAGCCTAAGACAGAAAATAATCTGTGTAGGTCCACGTCTTCGTATAGCCCCTATATAACGGAACCCCCGATATTCGGTATTTTTATGATTTTAGCGACATTATTTAACGGAATGGTTCCAAATTTGGTATTTGAAGTTCGTAATAGATACTGCAGCATAAAACAGAAAATGGGCCATGTAGGTCCGAGTCTTCGTATAGCCCCCATATACCGTACCTCCCTATATTCGGTATTTTGTTGATTTTAGCGACATTATTTACCGCGATTGTTTCAAATTTCGCATGTGAAGTTCGTAATGGATACTTCAGCCCATGCCAGAAAATTGTCTGTGCAGGTCCACGTCTTCGTATAGCCCCCATACAACAGTACCCCCTATATTCGGTATTTTGCTGATTTTAGCTATATTATAAACAGATTTTTCTTCAAGTTTCGCATTTAAATATTGTAAACACTTATGACAAAATTTGCCTATGCAGGTCCACGTCGTGATATAGGCATTCGGTATTTTTAAGATTTTAACAGAATTTTTAAAGGATTTTATTTTATTATTTTTTTGTAAATTGTCAAATTTGTACCAAATGGTGGAGGGTAATCAAGGTTCGGCCCGGCCGAACTTACAGCTTTTTTACTTATTTTATTTTTCTTTACCAAACGTCACCTTTTGTATCATAACAAAATATATGTTACGCTCCGAACATTTTTATGGTCATCATTACTGCAATACACATTCCATTCATCCACCATCCATCCATCACTCCCATTCGGGGGGGCATTGTTGTACTTTTCATTTTTAAATGGCATTTTGTGGTATAACCATAAAAATACCACAATTATGGTGGTAGTGGTGGTGGTGGCAATGGCATG